AATCTATAGGGATTAGTTCTACATGTCCCCAAGCCTTCTGGCTTCTGGTTGGTTTAATTAAGCCCATGGAAAGTCTCCAAAGGCAACTGTAGGAAGGTTGCCTTGAGCTGACTGTCCTCTTGTTGACATTTTTCCTGAGTCTCTCAGGAGGGTGACATCTCTGCTACTGCCACACTCATATTCCTGCACAAATGAGGAAGCTTTACAAAGTTCACGGAAAATTCCAATTATTTTTTTTACTTCCATTTTCTCTTAAACTTTTGAAGACCCCCTCCTATTTTATGAGTCTCTTATACCTCATCCACATGTTTGTAATTCGTCACTTTGTAAAGAAATCCTTTACAAATGATTCCAACTTGAGTTATATCTTGTTACCTGTTGGGACCTTGCCTGGTACAGCAACTGGTATCACTAGTGACTTTAGGAAACAAAGAGCCATTGTCTATATTTCCATTTAGAAGTAGCCTGAAAGTCAGTGCTAAATTGGGATTCTCCCAGACTTCAAGAACTCTATCTGTTTGCTCACTTCATTAAGAAAAGAGATGGTCAAGGATATCCATTTCCACGGACTTATAGACAATGGCAACCATTGTTGTTGTTAGGTGCCATCAAGTCGGTACTGACTCATAGTAACCATACGTACAACAGAATGAAACACTGCCTGGTCCTGGACCAACCTCACAACTGTTGCCACGCTTGAGCCCATTGATGCTGCCACTTTGCCAATCTGTCTTACTAGGGGTCTTCCTCTTTTTCTCTGACTCTCCCTCCACCCTACCAAACATGTTATCCTTCTCCAGCGACTGGTCCCTCCTGACAATATGTCCCAAGTATGAAAGATGAAGTCTGGCCATCCTGGCCTCCAAGAGCACTCTGACTGCACTTCTTCCAACACAGATCTGTTTGTTCTATTGGCAGCCCATGGCACTTAAACTATTCTCCAACACCATAACTCAAATGCATCAGTTCTTCTACAATCTTCCTTATTCACTGTCCAAAACCATAGATTGATTTAATTAATCATCACATCATTTTATTATACCCATTTTATTGATGAGAAAAGTAAAGCACAAGACACTTAAATAGCTTATAAGACTTAGTCTTATATCTGAGACTGTAAACCTTTATGGAAGTATACCGCCTCATCTTTTTCCTGAGGAGTAGCTGATGGGTTTGAACCACTGACATGACACTTAGCAGCCCAATGCTTAACTCACCATCAGGGCTCCTTATATAGGCATATATACAAATGTATTTATGGATATGTATGTAGTGTAGTGGTTACGAATTGAGCTGCGAACTGCAAGTTCAACAGTTCAAAATTACCAGCTGCTCCATGGGAGAAAGAGGAGTCATTCTGCTCCCGTAAAGATTTACAGCTTAGGAAACCCTGTGCAGGGTCGCTAAGAGTTGGAACCAACTCCACGGCACAGGTACACAGCTACCACCACCACTATGTATGCATATGACCATATAGATGTGTGATTTTGCAAATGGTAAAATGAAGGCTTAGAGAAGTAAACGGACTTGTCCAAGTTACAGTTGACTACACAGCTAGGATTCAAACCCAGGTCTATCAGACCTCAATGTCAGTGCTGGCCTCTACTGCTGCCTTCATAATATTTTGTTGTTATTTTTTGAGGTAGCTGACAGAGAGAAGCAGATCCTATGAAAATAAAACATCCCTTTGAAATTCAAATTTTACTTAGGGCATTAAGGAAGGCTAATCATTTAACTTAAATAAAGATGCTGTTGTTATGTGCCATCAAGTCAGGTCCCACTCAGAGCGACCTTATATAGATTTTCAGGGTTGTAAAGCTTTATGGTATCAGAAAGGCTCATCATTCTCCTGTGGGGCAGCTGGTGGATTCAAACTGCTGCCTTTGTGGTTAACATACTAACACGTAACCCACTATGCTACCAGCACCCCTTCAAATAAGGATAAACTTGACAATAAAAGTGTAAGCATGTTCTACATGTCCTAGTTATTTCTGTCTTTAGATCTTTAGCTTGTATTTGGACTTATAGAAAAGCTGAGAGCTGAGCTATGTATTTATATCATATCATCCCAGCATTAATGGCAAATAAAAAAAAAAAAGAAAAGAAAACAGAAAGCAACAAATGCTGGCAAGGATGTAGAGAGACTGGAAACCTCCTACATTTCTGGGAGGACTGCAAAATGGTGCAACCACTAGGAAAAACAGTATGAGTGTGGAAATGCCATAGGACCCAGCAATCCTGGTACTTGGTATGTATCCTAGAGAAATAAGAGCTACACAACATGAATAGATAGTTGCATACCCACATTCATTGTAGCACTATTCACAATAGCAAAAAAGATGGAGGGCAGACTAAATACCCATCAGTGGAAGGGTGGAGAAAGAAACATTGGTACATACACACAATGGAATACTATGCAATGTTGAAGAATAACAATGAATCTGCAAAACACCTCATAACTTGGATGAACCTGGAGAACTTATGGAGAATGAAATTAGTCAATTGCAAAAGGACAAATAGTGTTTGAAGCAGCTATTATTAAAAGTTAAGAAAAGACTTTCACACTAAAACATCTTTTGATGGTTGCTAGGACTAGGAAGGACAGGTGAATAATTCACTAGACAGAGAATAGACATGCGTTAACTTGAGTAAAGAGAAAGGCAATATACAACAAGAGGGAGCTTGGCAGAAGAATGATGACATCATGAGAAAATACGTGGAAGAGTGGAAGAGTTGAAACAACAGTGGTAAATACTGTTATATACACAACCTTGCAATAGCTGTAATCTATGCGTAGATACATGGACAAACACACAGGTTGAACAGGTGTAGGAGGAAGAATGGGAGTATACCCACAAAGATTTCACAGAGGATATTTGTATGTGGGTATTTACCTTTGCTACCAACAAAGGAGCTCTGGTAGCGAAGCGGTTACAAATCGGGCCGCTAATCTCACGGTCAGCAATTCGAAACTACCAGCTGTTCCGCAGGAGAAAGATGAGGCTTTCTGCTCCCATAAAGATTTACAACCTCGGAAATCCTGTACAGGGTCGCTATGAGTTGGAACCAACTCCACAGCACACAACAACAATCAACGTAGGAGTGTGGTGCATATAGGAGCATATAGGAGGCAATGTTATGAAAATTTCTTGAACATTGCCAAATACCTTGAGGGAATGAATTGCTGGGCCTGGGGGCTCAGGAACATAGATTCAAGGGACACCGTGGTCACTTGGCACAACATACTCCACAAAGACAATGTTCTGCATCCTCCTTTGGTTAGTAGCAACTGGGAACTTAAAACCTCATGAGTAGCCATCTAAGGTAGAGCTACTGGTATCTTCCTGTCTGCAGGCAAAAGTGATGAAACTTGAACAGATCTGGAAACAAGTCGAAGGGACTAATGGACCATGTGATCATCAGTCTTCTCTCCTGAGACCAGAAGAACCGGAAAGTACCCTGCTACTACTACCAAGGCATTAGAATGTCCAGATAGTGTGGGAGAAAATGTGGTACAAGACTCAAAATCATCAAAAAGGACCTGCCTTACTGGTCAGATAGAGATAGGTAGAACTCTGAGATGAAGGCCTTTGATCACCCTTTAGATTTGGAACTGAAGTCAGCTCCATGGCCCAATTTTCAGCTAGCAAGTTGTTGTGGTTAAGTGCCGTCGAGTCAGTTCTGACTCATAGCAACTTTGTGTAGAGTTCCCAAGGAACAGCTGGTGAGTTTGAACCACCGATCTCGTGGTTCAAACCGACTTTCCGGCCCAGTGCTTTATCCCCCAGCACCACACCAGGACAGTCAATAATAGATAGGCCTATACAGGGCACAAGAAACACAGTGGCTCTGTAAGATGAACACTGGACTAGGAACCACAAGGGCAGCAGTTAGGGCCCACCAGCTACTGCACTGAGCAAAGATGAGGCTCCCTATGTTCCTGCCAAGATTTACAACCTCAGAAGCCCTATACAGGGTTGCCGTGAGTTAGAACCAACTCAGAAGCACTTAACAACATTAATACAGGGACCAACAATACTAGTGAGGTTCACACCATAGAAATGTCAATAATTCAAGATTAAAAAGTAGGCATTTATTCAAGGACCAAATCCAGAAGGGTTGGGAATGAAGGTGGAGTGGAAACATGGACAACAGGAAGGAAGCGGACTGCAATCCTTGAAAAGAAACCAAGTGTACAATTAAATGTAAAAGTGATCATTTGCTCTGTAAATCTACACCCAATTTGCAACAGAACTTTTTTTTTTTTTTTTTTTTTAAACATTTATTTTTTTTAAAGAAATACAATGAAGGATTCTAGACTCATGGAAAGAGAAAGGCTGTGTGCTGGTGGCTAGGAGGCAGGCTTGAAGAATGTGCCCTTCGGTTGTTTAAATGATTATGTATTCCTGAGTGTTTTGTGTGTACCTCCCCCACCCCCAAAACAAAACAAAACAAAACAAAACAGAGGTAATGGAAGCAAATACTGTTGAATGATGATGCACGGAGGAGATTGTAATCATTGCAATAAAATGATGAGTGTAAAAACCGATGTTCTCCCATGTAAGCTATCACTCAATTCACAATAAAAACTAAAAAAAAAAAAAGAAAGAACAAAATTTAATTCAAAATCCCTACTAACAAATTTCCTAAGAAAACGTTGGTGTTGGTATCATATTCTTTTGCCAATTGTCTAGCCATTAGCCCTGATCAAGGTAAAGTTGAATACAATGGTCACTTATTCACAGAATAGGAAATGCAGAGACCAGAGCTGGGGAGAGGAGTCTGAGAAGGGAAACCACATTGACCGGGGTATCAGTGACTTATTTTTGCTTTCGTGACAATTTTTGAGTTTCTGCTAATGAAGGCAGGCATGGTCAAGAATGTGTACATGCTTTATAATAATTCTTATCACCCTGCTCTTAGGGACTTCCTTTTTTGGAATAGCATCACCAGCCTCATCTATCCAAGGTCATGGACTCATGGCTTTGTAACAGTTGAGAATGATCTGCTTTTCAGATAACACCATCCAGTCGATTTTCTGTTGCTGCTGTTGCTGTTCATTGCAGAAGCGGTAAGTCTTCTTTTGAGCGCAATGTCTTGAAAATGAGTTTGTTCAGAATTCCTTTTTTATCTATTGGGTCTCTACGGCTTTTTACATGTACTGTTCCCTCTGCCTGGGAAACCCATCTCACCTGATCTCCCTGTTGGATTCGTGTTCATTTAAAGTCGTAGATTGATGTTGTGACCAGGGCCACATTAGTTGGTTCCAGGTAGAATGGGAGGAAAATACGAAGCAGAAGTAAATATTTATAAATATAAATATATTGAAAGTCAGACAAAGTGGAGCATGGAGGACTCCCTGAGATTATCTCCCAGAGATACTCTTTAAAACCTAGAACCGAGCCTATCCCCTGAGATGATCTTTTAGCAATACAGCAGAATGAGTGACACACAAAATAAAGGATATTGAAAGACTGGTGCCCTGCTTAAAACCCATCAGTGTAACACTAGAAGGTCAGCAATTACACAAAAACAGACAGAAGATAAGGACAGGGAAACTAGAGTACTGAAAAGGAAACAGACATAAAGAGAATGTTGACACATTGTGGTAAATGTAACTAGCATCTCTGAACAATTTGTGTGTAAGCGATCAAATGGGAACCTAACTTACTGTGTAAGCTTTCACCAAAAACTCAATGAAATACTACTCTTTTAAAAAAAAAAAAAAAAGGCATACATCAAATGTCAGGTTTTCTTTGATCCTTCCTTAGTGTTCTTGGAATTAATTGTTCTTCCTATTATATCTGAAAGCATGTGACTTGGTTCCCTATTTAATGTTTATTTCATGTATGCTGTTTGTAGGTCTATGCTTCACCCGGTAATTTTACTATTAAACGGCAAAGATACTCATCTGAGTATCTCCTAAAAACTCTCAGTGAACCCAATACTTTGGTGCCCAACAAATGATTTTATAAGAATTAAATCCAAGGTGTGATGATGATAGTAACAACTAATATGTTATGGTTTTTGTTGTTAAGTGCTGTTGAGTCAGTTCCAACCCTTAGTGACCTTGTCTATGGGTCATAAGGCTTTCAAGGAGTGGCTGGTGAGCTTGAACTGCCAACCTGTGGTTCAAAACTGACTTTTGAGTCCAGCACATTAACCCACAGCGCCGCACCAGAACTCCAATATGTGATGGTAGCAGCCTATATATCAGATACTGTGCATAGAACTCTCAAAACAGCCTGTCATGTTTCTGTGACCCCCATTTTACAGTTGAGGGAATAGATTTAGGGAGGTTACATCATTTACCCAAGGTCACACCATGAAATGGTGAAGCTGGGATTCCAGCTCCATTGTTCTTAATGACTATCGTAGGTCTACTTCTAATAATGTTGTTATAAGCTGCGGTCAAGCAGGCCCAAGAACAATTGGACCAAATGCAAGGAAACAGTGAAACGCCCTGCCCAGTACCGTGCCATCCTTATGATTGGTTGTGGATTGGACTGTAGTGATCCATGATTTCATTGGCTAAGTGTCTGATGTAATTTGCCAGGTCTTTGTACCTAGTTTTTTTGTTGTTGTTGTTTTTGGTCAGTAAGCGCTACTCGAACCTGTTCAGCATCATAGCAGCATGCACGGTTCCACTGACAGAGGAGTGATGCCTATTCACAAGCTGTGTTGGCAAGGAAGTGAGTCGGTGTCTCCCACATGGAAGGAGCCAGCTCTAGCACAGAGACACCAACGCCTCCTCACTTGGAACAGTTGTTGTTACGTGCCGTCGAGTCAGTTCCGACTCACAGCGATCCCATATAGGGTTTCCAAGGAGAGGCTAGTGGGTTTGAATAGCCGACCTTGCAGTTAGCAGTCCAGTGCTTACCCTACAATTATTGTTGTTTAGGGCCGTCAAGTCAGTTCTGACTTATAGTGACCCTATATAGGGTTTCCAAGGAGCAGCTGGAAAGTTTGAACCGTCAACCTTGAGGTCTAGTGCATTATCCTAAATACCAGTCAGTGAAGTGAAACACGCAAATGCTGAGCATGGTGCCTAATGCAGAGAAGAGTTTTATCATTGTGATTATCATTTTATGCCCCTAGTATTTGCCTCAACAGCACTAACAACAACACTAGTATTACCAGACTCCATACTGGGCATGTGGCATATGTTTTCTGAGTTTTATTGCATGATACCCTATATACTTAGGAGCTTTGGTAGCACAGTGGTTATGAGTCAGGCTGCTAACTTCAAGGTCAGCAGTTCAAAACTACCAGTGGGTCCACAGGAGAAAGATGAGGCTTTCTGCTCCTGTAAAGATTTACAACCTCGTACACCTTATACAGGGTTGCTATGAGTCAGAATCGACTCCACAGCATACTACCACCACCAGCCTATATACTGTTAGCCTCCATAGCTTCCAGATATGAAAATTGAAGTTCTGAAAGCTAATAACTTTCCCAAAGTGATAGGAAGCCTTCTAAATTTATTTGGACCAAATGGTCAACAATTATTTTTACGTAATGATGCGAGTGTAAGGGGGTGGAGGCAGGGAAACCACGTTAATGGAAATGGAACAGCAACAATAGAAATCTTGAGAAAGGCCACACCTTGTGGAGAATGTAACCAATGTCAGTGAATGTAACCAATGTCAGTGAACAATTGGTGTAGTAATTGTCAATGGGAATATAAACTGCTGTGTAAACTTCATTGGAAACACAATAAAATAACATTAAAAAAATGTGTTTGGAAAAAGACCTAATATCTTTTTTCTAATTTGGTGATAGTTGAATAGATTTATAGATCATCTTAATATAAATATTCATTTGTGCTATGATTACTTTACTCTGTCAGGCAAGTGCGAACACAAATAAGCCTGAGCAAAGATGAAGAACTTTCAGAAAGATATCCTCCACGTCACAGGCCACAGCTCTGCGAATTGCCGAATAAGAAGAAAGTGAGTATCACGTTGATGGGGGTCCAGGGACAGAGAAGGGGTCCTGTTCCATAGGAACAATTTGCTGCTGAGTCTAGAGCATTGTATGTGTTTGGCACATAAGTGCTGAATAAATAATTAATGAATGAATATACTAGAAGAAAATGGGGGTAAATAAAGGACCAGTTAAAGTAGCCTCGTCTGCTACATTTGAAGACAGAAATTGAAGCTGGAAATAAATTAAGGGAAAAACATATTCTTGTGACTGACAGTTTAAGATCAGCATTCATTTTCAATTCAGTGTTGGGAGAACTCGTGTTCTTTAGGAAGTGTGGTAAACCCAAATACACGCTTACAGCAGATGAAATGGAAACGCAGGATTTTTAGTATTCTTTTTTTCTTGTAGGAGAGAAAAATACTTAAAACAAAATGATTGAGGAGTAAATCACCTTTTGAGAATTGTGAAATGAAAAGATCCCATGCAATGCTAGCAAGAGAATTTGTGATTTCAAAGGTTTACAAATGATAAGTGTATGTCTTAGGATCCTTAAAGGACACAGAACCAGTGATACTTAATATGTGAAGTTATACAAGTGGGCTTCCAAAAGTTCATTGAAAACTGGCATTCAAATATAATGGATTTTGTTCATGAACTTTCTGAAGTCCACGTGTGTGTGTGTATGTACATATATGAAAACAAACATCAGACCGCTGCCATTGAGTTGATGCTGATTCATAGCAACTCTGAAAGACAGAGTAGAACTGCCTTAGGATTTCCAAGACTGTAAATCTTTATGAAAGCACACAGCCTCATCTTTCTCCAGAGGAGTTGCTGGTGGGCTTGAACCACTGACATGACAGTTAGCAACCCAGTGCTTAACCATTATGACATCAGGGCTCCTTAATACTTGTATATATTTTATTTTATTTATTGATGGCACTTAACAACAACAACAACAATGTATGTATATGGAGTCCTGGGGTGGGGTGTATGTTAATGCCCTGGACTGCAAAGTTGGTTTGAACCACAAACTTGGCAGTTCAAACCTACCAGTTGCTCCTTGGAAATCCTATAAAGGGTCACTATGAGGCACAAATGACTCGACAGCACTTGAAAACAACAACAATGTAGGTATATGGAGTCCTGGTGTGGTGCTGTATGATAAGCACTTGACTGCAAGGTTAGTTTGAACTGCAAGATTGGCAGTTCAAACTCACCAACAACTCCTCAGAAACCCTGTACAAGGTTGCTATGAGTTGGAACTGACTCGATGGTACTTAACAACAACAGCAACAATGTATGTATATACATGTATAGATGTGTTATGGATGTCTATATATGTATTTATATGTATTTGTTATATGTTGCTAAGTGCAGTCTAGTCAGTTCTGACTCATAGCGACCTTGGGTAGGGTTTCCAAGAAGTGGCTGGTGAGTTTGAACTGCTGATCTGGTGGTTCAAACCAACCTTGCAGTCCAGTGCTTTATCCCACAGTGTCATATATAGAAAGAGAGCAATTTACTTCAAGGGATTAGTTTGCAAGATTGTGAGCACTGGCAAATCCAAAATCCAAAGGTCAGGCTGGAGATTCCTGCAAACTTGGCTTCTGAGAGTCTTAGTTCCGGTGATGGAAAGAGTGCAGAATGGAGAGGGAGAGGGAGAGTTCTACCAAAAGAATATATTTACAGTTTTAAGGTAGCATACACCTTAAGGAAACTCTTTTTACCTGATAGATTATGTTACATTCTATTACATTGTGTAGAATAGTACCTTGTCTAGTATTTGACCAAACCACTGGGAACCATAGCCTCATCAAGTTGACACTAAAAATTAACCATCACTGTGTTGCTGGATCCATAAGCCATTTTATAATTAGCCACTTCCTATAGGGTTCCCACTCTGGCTGTTTCTTGGTGGAGTTGGATGGGAAAAGTGCAGCTAGTGGCAAACATGCTACACATCTATTCTTTATACTAAATAAAAATGACTGGGATCAAACATAACAATTGTGAGAATGGCACAGGACCGGGAAGTGTTTCGTTCTGTTGTGCATAGGGTCCCTATGAGTCAGAACCGACTCAGCAGCACCTAACAACAAACAACAGTAGCAAAATAATAGTATCACAATGCCTTGGTTTTTACAGCCCAACAGAAGCCATGGAAAGCCACCAAAACACAAGCCCCTGCCTCCCCTCCCTGTCTCTGAGGTTGGTGAAGAGATGGTCCAGGTTAAAGCACTTTATGACTTTATGCCCAGAGAACCCTGTGATTTGGCATTAAAGAGATCAGAAGAATACTTAATATTGGCGAAGTATACTCCTCACTGGTGGAAGGCAAGAGACCATTTGGGGTAAGACTGGTGGTTTAGTCATTTTCAAAGTCTTTTTCCTCTAAAGACTTTGAAGCATTAGGGAGACTGTTTATTGGCTTATATTCTCCTGGTTTTAAAACTGTTTCTTCTGTGTGAAATGGAACCATCCCCACACATCCCCATCAGTAAGTGAGAGCATTGCGGCCCAGTGATTTCCAGCAGAGCCTCAGACCCACACATGCCTGGTTTCCCAGCCAGACTCTGCCACTTACTATTGTGTGCTCTCAAGTCACTTATCCTCTCTGAGTTTTTCTTGTTTTATTTATAAAATGGGAATGATAATTCCTACCTTCTAGCTTCTTGTTCTGATTTGTATTTTCTTTATTTGCGAATTTGTCTGATTATTCCTTCTGAGATCAAAGCAAGGAGCATCTTTGTTTGTGATTGTATTTTTACAACTGGTTTTGGAGGTGGAGTTCTGGTGTGGTGCTGCGGGTTAATGTGCTGAACTATAAGGTTGGTTTGATTTGCAAGGCCGGCAGTTCAAGTTTATCAGCCACTCCTTGGAAACCCTATATAGAGTCGCTATGGGTAAGAACCGACTCAATAGCACTTAACAACAAGTTTTGAAGGTAAACATTAAGATAGCTGCTGAGATAAAGTGGAAATTAAAAAAAAATGTACTTGGGAGGCAAGTAGATTTCATTGGGAATATCAATTATAATAGATGGTTAGTGCTTGATACCACTCGACTGTCATTTTGTCAGACCATAGTGACATGTGTGTTGCTGTGATGCTGGAAGCTATGCTACCGGTATTTCAGTGAAGGATTTGGTGATCGTCTGAAAAATCGACCAGTGAAAACCTCATGAATAGCAGTGGAACACTGACTCATATCGTGCCAGAGAATGAACCCCTCAGATTGGAAGCCACTCAGAATACTATTGGGAAAGAGCTGCTTCCACAGTAGAGTCAACCTTAATGAGATGGATGGAGTAAAGCTGTCAGGGCCTTCATTTTCTGGTAGGGTAGAACTCAAAACGAGAAGAAACAACTGCAAGTATCCATTAATATTTGCAACATGGGATGTATGAAGCCATCTAGGAAAATTGGAAGTCCTCAAAAACTAAATGGAATACATAAAGACCAACATCTTAGGTATTGTTGTCAGGTGCCATCGAGTCGGAACCGACTCATAGCGACCCTATGCACAGCAGAACGAAACAATGTTCGATCCTGGGCCAACCTCACTACCACTGCCACACCTGAGTCCATCAATGATGCCACCTGGCTGATCCATCTCGTTGGGGGTCTTCCTCTTTTTCTCTGACCCTCCACCCTACCCAGCATGACATCCTTCTCCAGCGATTGTTTCATCCGGACAATATGTCCAAAGTAGGAGAGACGAAGTTTAGCCATCCTGGCCTCCAAGGAGCACTCTGGCTGCACTTCTTCCAAAACAGATCTATTGGTTCTTTTGGCAGTCCATGGCACTTTCAGTATTCTCCTCCAACACCATTAGTATAGCTGAAATATACTAATGTTGGACATAGAATCACACAATCCTATGGTTTAGTGTGACAGGATGACAAATTCAAGAAGAATGGCATTATAGTCATCATCAAAAAGGACATTTCAAGATCTTTCCTGAAGGACAAGATTGTCTGTGATAAAATAATATCCATAAATCTGGCTTCATATGCTAAGCACTGGACTGGGAACCACAGGGTTGTTGGTTTGAGCCCACCAGTGCCACCATGGGAGAAAGATGAGGTTTTCTGTTCCCACAAAAGATTGAAAGTGTAGGAGACCCTGTATAGGGGTTGCTATGAGTCAAAACTAACTCCATGACCCTTAACAACAACAACTAGGAAGACCAATTAATACGACCATTATTCAAATTTACTTACCAACCACTAAAGTCAATGATTAAGAAACTGGAGAAGTCTACCAATTTTTTCAGTCTGAAATTGATCAAACATGCAATCAAAGGTGTTTGATTTTTACTGGTGTTTGGAATGCAAGAGCTAGAAACAAAGACGAAGAATCAGCAATTAGAAAATATGGACTTGGTGATAGAAATGACACTGGAGATAGCATGATAGAATTTTACAAGACCAATGATTTAGTTATTGGAAATACCTTTTTTTTCAAAACAACATAAATAGCAACAATACACTGCGAACTCACTGGAAGGAATAACCAGAAATAATGTCAACTACATTTATGGAAAGAGACCATGGAGAAGCTCAAAAAGTCACAATAAGTCCAGGAGCCAACTACCAAAGAGACACCATCAATTGCTCATCTCCAATTTCAAGTTGAAGCTGAAGGAAGTTAAAAAAAAGTCCATAAGAACCAAAATATGACCTTGAGTATATCCCAGAGGGGATATGAATGAAAGAATATCATTGCTGATATCAGATAGATCTTAGCTGAATGAAGAGATTACCTGAAAGATATTTATATGTGTCTTATTGACTATGCAAAAGTTGTGTAGATCATAACAAAATATGGATAACATTGCAAAGATTTTAAACCAATTGCTATAACATCCCAATGATCATTTAAGTACCCCTTTATATCTTTGAAGAGATTTTGGGCCATAAAACATCTTAAACTACTCACTTTAAATATCAGGGTCTTAGTATTACCACACAGAAATTTTAGTTGAATATGGAAATGAATAGCCTTTTTTTTCTTTGTGTATTTCTTGTGTATCCTTTTTTATTAGTAAAATGAATTTGATTTCCCATTATATCCTTGAGTTTTAAAGGGATTGTTGCTAAGATAATGCCACAAATGTGCCCAGCATTTTGATTTTTGCTTTGTCTTTTGTTGTAGGAATGAAGGCTTAATCCCAAGCAATTATGTGACTGAAAACAAGCTAACCAACTTAGAAATATATGAGTAAGTCTCCTTCAAAATATGCCCTGTGGTCAATCTATGAAAATCAGGTACATTTTGACGACTTTAATTACAGATTCTGTTTTGGGTTCATAAAAGGAAGAGAAAGTAACACATTTGATAGCTCTAGCAAAAAAGAGATCTTTGATCCTTACCATGGTTAATTCAGATACTTCCTTTTCTTAAACTTAGTTTTGTTTTGTTGCCCATTTTTTTCTCTCTCTCTTTTTAATTTTTTTTTTTTTTTAATGGGGCCATATGAAATCAAATACTCATCTGGCATTCACTTTACTGTATTTCCTAAGTGGAAGCATTACATTTTCAATGAGTGGTAAATTCGATTTAATGTGTGTGTACACATATTATTGTATTTTAGCCCGTTGACCTGTTTTAAAGATAGCTTGAGATAAGTAGACTAATGCTATATAATCTGGAAGAATCTTTGCCATATTCACTAGAGTTCTGCTTAAAAATCCATTTTTCTGACAGTTATAGATTTGGAAGATTGAGGAGATTTTAAACATCACTTCTTTAGCCCTTTATTCTGCAACAAGAAACTAAGGCTTAGAGATCGATTTTACAAGTGGAGAGTGTGTGAGAGTTAGAATTGGTCCTATGTCTTTTATAGATTTAGGTTTGCTATCTGCTCCTGTAAAGAGTTACAGCCTTGGAAACTCTATACAGGGTTGCTATGATTTGGAATTGACTCATCGACAGTGGATATCAACTTAGTTATGTGAGCATGAAGGAGCCCTGGTGGAACAGTGGTTAAAACACTCAGTTGCTAATCAAAAGGTTGGAAGTTTGAACCTACAAGCAGCTCCATGGGAGAAAGATGTGGGATCTGATTCCATAATGAGCTGGAATTGACTCAGGATTTGGGGAAAGTGCGCATGTAAGTGGCTGCCCACCTCCTACCTCCCCCTCCCCCCCACCACACACACTCAGGTACTTGTTTTGCAATTAGCATGTGCTTCCTTCCATAGGTGGTGCTCCAGGATATGCGTTAAGTCATGAAGGCACTTCTATGAGAATCAGATAGTAATTATAAACTGAATGAGACAGAGTTCCTTTGTCTATTGATTTAAGCTCATCTGGAGACCAGACTCAGCACACCTCTACCTCAGAACATACCAAATTCCAAAAACATCGGTGAATAATGTAGTCTTTGTTGGGAGGAAGATGACCACATGCTCATGACATATGTACACATCTACATAACTTGAGGCGACATCTCTATTAGATATATGTGTTCTCTTTCCCAAGTCCCTTTCCAGATCCCTCTCTCTTCTCCCTCCCCTCACTTAGTCTGACACATCCTCTTTATTGACCTCAATCACTTATCTTTGTCCCAAGATTCCAGTCTTCACTCAATAAAACACAGCCCTCAGATAGGGTGGCTAAATCCCCCTTTCCTTAGAACACACATCCACAACAATCTACTGTTAATGAATCATGTCTCATGGGGGTTTCACTTGTACCTAGAGCTGAAGCTTCCCAACAAAAATAGTTCTCCTTGAAGACCAGATCAGGGGAAATTCTGAATACAGCTAGGAAAAATAACACTTTTTTTTTCCATATTATTACACCAGTATGAATTTTCCAGGAGAGCAAAGGAGACATACAAGGAGCTCTGGTAGCATAGTGGTTATGAATCAGGCTGCTATCCCAGGGTCAGCTGTTCGAAACTACCAGCTGTTCCACAGGAGAAAGATGAGGCTTTCTGCTCCCATAAAGATTTACAGTCTCGGAAACCCTGTACAGGGTCACTATGAGTCAGAACCAACTCCACGGCACATGACAGCAACAACAACAAAGGAGACATACAAGAAGACTTCAAAAGTTCATGGAAAAATTCCATTATCTTTCATTTGTATTTTTCCAGGAAATTTTGCATGCCCCCTCATAAGGAACTCTAGCGACACTGAATTGATTAGGTGTTGAGATGTTAACTTAAAGGTCAGCAGTTAGAACCCACCAGTTACTCCACAGGATAAAGATTTACAGCCTCAGGAACCCTATGGAGCAGTTCTACTCTGCCCTCTAGGGTCACTGTGGGTCACAATCAACTCGACGGCAGTGGTGAAGATTAGAACAGCCATCTCATTTCCTTGGACTTTGATTTTTGTATCTTTTTCAAAGTGATACTCCTCCATCACTCCAATCATGAGAAGACTGGTATTTCTATTTGATTTCTATTGATGTTTTTTAAAGGAGGTTTATGAAAATATAACAGTTATCTTTTTAATCACTAACATTTGTTGATCACTAACTATGCACCAGGAACTGTTCTAATGACTCTACAGAAATCATTGTTCTGTGTTAAATACTGTAGCATGGGCTTAAACATTAGGGAAACCTAGGTTCAAAATTTGGCACTATTTAACTCTGTGGCTTGAGGCAGTTGCTTAACATTTTTAAACCTCTGACCTATCTGAAAGATGAAGACAAAACACCTATCTTGCATAGTTGTTGTTGTTAAGTGCCGTTGAGTCTGTTCCAACCCATAGTGACCCTGTACAGGGTTTCCAAGGAGCAGCTGGTGAGCTTGAACCGCCGACATTGCTGTTCAAACTAACCTTGCAGTCCAGTGCATTAACCCGTAGTGCCACACGAGAATTCATATAGGAGGTTGCTTAAATAAACAAATGCTATGGGAATATATTCTACAGGAAATGTATTAGTATTCTGAATCAATGTATTTTATTTATAAGTCACATTAAAAGATTTTATAAACTTTTCGACTTGCTAAAATCTTAAAAAACAACAACAAAAAAAGATTTATAGGAAAAAAAAAAACCCCAAGAAAACTTATTTAACTATTTAGACTGACTATGTTGTTGGTGTTGGGTGCCACTGAGTCATTTCTGACTCATAGGGGCCCTGTGCACAACAGAAGGAAGCACTGCCCATGTCTACACCATTCTTAACAATCTTTGTTGTTTGAGCCCACTGTTGCGCTGCCACTGTATCCATTACATTGGGGGGCTTCTTATTTTGCTAACCCTCTAATTTATCAAGCATGATGTCATTTTTCCAGGGTGGGGCCCCTCTTGATAACATATCTAAAGTATGTGAAACAAAGTCTCACCAGCCTCACTTCTAATAAGCATTCTGTCTGTACTTCTAACAAAACAGACTTGTTTGGTCTTCTGGCAGTCCATGGTACCTTTCATTATTCTTCACCAACACCATGATTCAAATGCATCTTTTCTTCTACAGTCTTGTTACTCACTGTCAAATTTTCACATGCATATGAGGTGATTGAAAATACCAATGCTTGGGTCAAGTGCGCCTTAGTCCTCAAATCTTTCCTGCTTAACACTATTGCAGCAGATTTGCCTAATGCCATTGTTAGGTGCCATCGAGTTGGTACGAACTCATAGTGACCTTATGCACAGCAGAACGAAACACTGCCTGATCCTGGTCCAACCTCACTATCAATCCACGCTTGAGCCCATTGATGCTGCCACTTTGTCAATCCATCTTGCTGGGGGTCTTTCTCTTTTTCTCTGATCCTCTCCACCCTACCAAACATGATATCCTTCTCAGGCGACTGGTCCCTCCTGACAATATGTCCAAAGTATGAGAGACAAAGTTTGGCCATCCTGGCCTCCAAGAAGCACTCTGGCTGCACTTCTTCCAACACAGATCTGTTGGTTCATTTGGCAGCCCACAGAACTTTCAATATTCTCCTCCAACACCATAACTCAAAAGCATCATTTCTTCTATGGTCTTCATTATTCACTGTCCAGCTTTCGCATGCATATGAGGTTATTGAAAACACCATATCTTGGGTCAGGCACACCTTAGTCCTCAAGCTGAGATCTTTGCTTTTCAACACTTTAAAAAAGTCTTGGGCAGCAGATTTGCCTAATGCAATATGTGCTTTGATTTCTTGACTGCTGCTTCCATGAGTGTTGTTAGTTGATGCAAGAAAAATGAAGTCCTTGACAACTTCAATTTTTTCTCCATTGATAAGATTGTTGTTTATTGGTCTAGTGGTGAGGATTTGTGTTTTCTTTACATTGAGATGCAATCCATAGCGAACACTGTGCTCTTTGATCTTCATCAGTAAATATTTTAACTCTTCTTCACTTTCAGCAAGCAAGGTTGCACCATCTGCAGGTTGTTAATGAGTCTTCCTCCAATCTTAATGCCATGTTTTTCTTCATACAACCCAGCTTCTCGAATTATTTGCTCAGCATACAGGTTGAATAAGTATGGTGAAAGAATACAACCCTGTCGCACACCTTTCCTAATTTTAAACCATTCAGTGTTCCCATGTTCCGTTTGAACAACTGCCTCTTGGTCCATGTACAGATTGCTCATGAGCACAATTAAATGTTCCGGAACACTCATACTTTGCAGTGTTGTCCATAGCTTGTCATGATCCACACAATCGAAAACCTTTGTGTAGTCAATAAAGAAAGAAGGAAAAGGTCAAAATGGATGTCAGAAGAGACACTGAAACTTGCTTTCCAATGTAGAGATGCTAAAGCAAATGGAAGCAATGAGAAGGTCCAAGAGCTGAACAGAAAATTTCAAAATCAGCTTGAGAAGATAAAGCCAAAAATTACCACAAAATGTGCATAGATCTGGAGTCAGTCTGAAAACCAAAAGGAAGAACATGCTCAGCATTTCTCAAGCTGGGGGAACTGAAGAAAAAATTCAAGCCTCGACTTTTGTTATTGAACGATTCTCTGGGCATAATGCCATACACTGTTTGATTTCTTGATTGCTATTTCCACAAGCATTGATTGTGGATGCAAGTAAAATGAAATCTTTGACAGCTTCAATCTTTTCTTCTTTTATCATCATGTTTGTTGGTCCTGTTGTGAGGAATTTTATTGTCTTTACATTGAGATGTAATCCATACTGCGTGCTATGCTTCAAGTCCTCTTCACTTTTAGCAAACAAGACTGTGTCATCTACATATCACAGATTGTTAATGAGCCTTCCTCCAACCCTAAGGTCATATTTTTCTACATATAATCCAATTT